TTGTGGTGATGCTGGTGCAAACAAGCCTACTGCCTTGCCAGGCATATAAAAGTCCAGCACATGCAATTATGTACTGTACATAATACTTGATAATGATAATAAATGACTATGTTACTGGTTTATGTATTTACTATACTTTTTATTGAATATTAGAGTAAACTCTTTCTACTTATAAAAATATTAACTGTAATACAGCCTCAGGAAGGTCCTTAAGGAGGTTTCCAGAAGAAGGCATTTTTACCATTGCATATGACACTTACATGCATGTTACTGTAAAGACCTTCCATTGGGACAAGATGTGGAGGTGGAAGACAGTGATATTGATGATCCTGACTCTGTGTAGGCCTCACCAATATGTGTATATCTTAGTTTTTAATAAAAAAGTTCTAAAAAGTAAAATTAAATAACTAAACACATTTATAAATGGGAAATAGCTCATAGAATAAGCATATAAAGAAAGCAAATATTTTTATACAGCTGCATGTGTATATATTTTAAGCTGTGTTATTATAAGTCAAAATGTTTAAAAATATTTAAACTTTTATAAAGTAAAAAAGGTGCAGTAAGCTAAAGTTAATTTATAATTAAAGGAAGAAATTTTTAAATAAATTTAGCATAGCCTAAGTGTGCAATGTCTGTAAAATCTACAGTAATGTACTGGAATGTTCTAGGCCTTCACATTCACTCCCTACTCACTCACCCAGAGCAACTTCCAGTCCTGCAAGCTCCATTCATGGTAAGTGCCCTATATGAGTATAGCATTTACTTATTTTTTAATTTTTTTTCTTTTTTTATTATTTTTTTTCTTTTATTTTCAGCTTTAGACAGTTGCTGTTCAACTATGAGTGTAGCATTTAAAAAAATCTTTTATACCATATTTTTATTGTGCCTTTTCTATGCTTACATATGTTTAGATACACAAATACTTACCACTGTGTTCCAATTGCCTACAGTGTTCAGTACAGTAACACGCTGTACAGGTTTGTCACCTAAGAGTGATAGGCTGTACCATACAGCCCAGACATGTGGTAGGCTACACTATTTAGGTTTGTATAAGTGCACTCTATGATATTTGTGCAACAACAACATTGCCTAATGCATTTCTCAGCATGTATCTTTGTTAAGCAATGTATGATTGTATTTGCAATGAAACAAATATATTTCTTGGCCATTTTTGAAAACACTATTATACCTCTCTTGCAAGAGAATATTGTGTTTGTTTTCTTTTCATTCCCTTGTTCTCCTGATATAGTATCAGGATGGGTGGAGCTATAGCAAGAAGCTCAGTGGCAAGGAGACAATATGACTCTTCCATGGTCAGCATACCCATGGAATTGGGTTTGAAAAGACACATTTTCCTTATTCTTAGGGGAGAAATGAACCAGATATTTAGAAGCCCCATCAGCTGTGGCAAAACTACAGGCCATGAAGATAACAAGTGTGAGAACTCAAAAGAAGAGTAAAACAGGGTGGAAAGGAAAATGATGTTTCTGCGGGCACTGATCATTGGATCTTTTTTTCCTTGAAAGGAAACCTTTGGAATATTAGTTTTATCGTTTCTTTTCCATTATTAAAGCCTTAGCCTCTAAGAGTCAGCTGTGCGCAGACTCAAGGAGGCAGGCCCGGACTGGGTTCTTAGCTGTGCCCGCTCGGGGCTATGGTGGGAGGATTCACTCAGGGCTGGGAACTGTGATGTGGTTTCCAGTCATATATTCCACATTCTCTTACTTATGAACTACGCTCGGCTATGCTGCATTTGCTAGTCTTTTTCACATCTTATGCTTTTGTTCTGCTGTTTCCATCACTCTGGAGTATGCTTTTCCTGCTTGTCTGCCTGATGAGATGCTATGATCTTCAAACGTGGCCTAATTAAAGCCTTCTCTGATTCCTCTAGGCTGAGTTATTTGTTTCTTATAATTTCTAAACTGTAACTCAAACTCTTCCCATCACTAATTCTGCTTAGTATGGTGACATTGTCATCTGGTGTTGCCACAAGGTCTCACCTTTAAAGAGTTGTATTTATTTCTAAGACCTAGTGTTCGATTATCTGACACGCAGCAATTACAAACTCTTTTAATACTCTATGTCCAAACGTTTAGGTAAGTTTTAGCGTGGCCTTACCGAAAAAACAGGCGGTTTTGCAGGTGGCCTTAAAGATATTCTCTGGTGTCATTAAGGAAAAAGAAATGCAGAGCAGATACATGCATTTAGAAATGTGTGAGGTAAGCTACCTCTCTCAGACAGTGCTACCACTCTATTGGGAGTGACTCACCTTCTTGGTGGCCTCTTTCTGAAGAAGATGACAGGTATGTTTATTTATTTATTTATTTATTTTTTTTGACAGGCATGTTTAGAAGAAATAAACCTTTTCACCAATAGCTTCCCCAAACCTGGTAGACTGATATAGTTCACGAATCCATTGATAGCACTAGCCTGATAGGCACCAAGCATGCTGCTGCCTATATGATATGATGGAAAGAATATAGCTTTTCAATTGAGCTACCTTTAAATTACAGACACTTGTTTTCGGAATACCAATCAGGTGCTTTCTATGGGAGATGCTTATTGCTATCAGTTCAATTCTGCCTTTTCAACTCCTCAATCCATTTCCAATTATTATGAAGCAGCACTCTTATTCCTAAAAGGTGCAATAAAATGTAATGGAAAAGAAATTTTAAAAAGCACAAATGTAAAGAAATTGTTTTCATAAAATGTGTAGTAAGGCATTATTAATTAGAAGCTTACCAGATGATTATATTTTGGCCTAAATTTCATTCTTGCACTAGCTATAAAAGCAAGTTGTGCTATAAAGATTGATAAACAGATGCTAGGGGGCCTCAATAACCTACTTAAGAGGACAGACTGTTTTGAAGTACTTGAGTAATACTATTTGGAAAAAAACTGATATGCCAATTAAGAGGCTTTTATTTAGTAAAGTAGGCACAATTGGATATTTATTTTTTAATATATTGTTATTATGGTTTGGGCATTTTGTCTACTTGGCAATATTTGCAATGAATTTGTTTTAAAATATTCTATATTTTCACCTTGTTAGCCCAAATTGCTAAGATTTTGCCCTATTTAGTCTCTTTTGAGTGGGAGTGGTTTCCTCAAAGTTTTTTTTTTTTTTGTTCCCTGGGCTATAGACTATTCTCCTTAGTGGAAAATGGCTGCTCAATGCATGAAAAGAATACAAAAGACTTCAGTGAGAAGACACTATGATCATTTGAGATGCTCCATCCCTTAGAAAATTCTCAAATTGGACAATTTGATTTACCAAGCAGCTAACTGGACAAAGCAAAAGCCCATCGGCAGGGCTGCTAGTCTGATTGCTCTTGTCCTTGGTTCCCAACTTCCCTGAGCAGCAACACATCTTCATTGGCCCAGGTGATGCCCCCGCAGGGCTGTGAGCTTGTCCTCCAGGAGGGCTCTCGTGCCAGGCGCAGCAGCCCAGGAAGCACTCACACAAGGTGCTGTCCGTCTTGTGAGTAAGAGCTGGGCTACCAATTAATGATTATTCTCTCTACTCCATCAACATAAAAGGTATCAAATCTAAGGTCGGATGGGGTTGTAAGCCTCAGAAGAGTTTACAAGCCTTTGCTTTATCATACATTAACTGAAGACCAACAAGTCTTGGACGTCTCTTATACTATACTGCAATTAGTAGGGAAAGTGAGTACCATAATCATTCCAAGGTTTATGCATGGCGATTTAAGGTGGTTAGGAGCTGGACATGGAATTTGAAGATGTCTATCTATGGGTTTGCATCTTTTATATCTCTCTGTTCACTAGTCTGTCTCCTTCCCTTGGGCGATTTGTATAATTATAATTGGAATTACTTGGCTTCCAAAATGATGTAGTTTTAACTTTATGGTCCAGCAGAAACTTCTCCATTGCTTAAGTGTTTTTCTCTCTGTAGCTAGAACTATTTCACAAAACAGTATGGTGCCACTGAGCTTCTAGAAGGAATTCAAGGTGTTCATGATGTAAAAGAAGCAACTTATTAAAGAGATCCCTAGTGGAGCTATGGTAATGAGCTGAAGATTTCTCTAGAGGTCCGTTGCCTGTCTGATGACAATAGGAAACATCTTTCTAAACAAAGAGGCTTAAAATCTCCAGGGGAGGTATGCTATTAAGTCATAGCATTTTTATTTCTTTCTACTTAGCTCAATCAGCAATGGCTGTGACTATTTTTTCAGTGAAATGAAACCTACCACACCAGAAATCCTCCTAAGTTAAGTCTCTTGCTTTAGGTCTCTGTGGGGAGGCTTTAAGATCCAAAACAATTTTCAAACTTATTTAGGAAGTGGAACAACTAAAAATCACAGTGCCTTTTCCCCCCATATACAAAGAAATACTGGCTTACTGAGCTAAAAGTAACAAATTATAAAAGTTGGCATAAGTCAAATATTATGAATATTATGAATATTAAAACACACTCTGATATATACTATTGGCAGCAGTAGCAGTAGCAAAATATAAGAAAAATTAATAACAAGGGATTATGACTGAGAAATTTTAATTCATTAACTTTTTTTAAATTCCTCTATGAGTCTGCGAAAAGACTGCCATTTTTCAATTTTACTGGTGGAATATTTAAGCAGATTTTTGACACATCAGTGTTCCAACGGGCCATAATTTGACAGTTATTAGTATAAAATCATATTAACTGTATTGTGCTCTAGGAATACTTTCATGAAGTTAATGAAAATATGGTGATTATGTCCTTGAATGTTGTAGTCCAAGAGTTTGCTTTGACGGTTAGCTGAAAAGTGAGGTGCAGGGAAATCTGACGCTGGTTTCCTTGTATTGACTTCATTCATGGCTTAGGGGAGAAGTGGCTGACATTCGACTCTCACTACAGAGTCCTCACACAGTGGGGGCGGGCCAGCCTGCCAGCAGGTGTTGGTGTCATGCCTGCTTCATGCTGAGAGAACAGCATCACTGCTAATTCAGACAATAGAGATGGTTATCAAGGCACTGACTTGAGAAGCAATATATACCGACACTGGAGGGGAAAGGGCTATTTATTTAGAAAAGTTTACCATCAAATCACTGGACAGGATAAACAACTCATGGAGAAAATCAACACTTATTACAATCAAAGGGGAATCCATTGTAATTTGCTGATTTCTCTAGACACTCTCACTGTGATGTTGAACAAAAACCCTCTCAAATATCTTCCACTGGATTAGCAACTGTGTTTATGAAAAATCCACCTTTTTTTTTTTGGTTGTTGTTGCTGATACTTCTTTCCATATTTTTCTGAATCATGTTTAAGCATAATACAATGTATCCGATGTTAGTGAGACATCAATTTAGCATTAATTTCTCTGGATGGAAATATGAGCCATATGTTTATGTGAGCAATAACAATACTATACAATTTAATAATTTCGGAGAAGACATATATTTTCATCTAAAAGAGAGAGTTCTGAGAGCTTGTATTCATTTTTTGAAGCATCAGCAACTTTCAGTACAGAGGCCACGGAAGTTTTCTAATCTTATTTTATATTTCCCTACTGGTCTGACTCTGATTAGAGGTTCAAATAAAATTGTGATTCTTCTATGCATTGATTCTGTTAAAGTATTCCTTGTCTGTCTCCTGGCACGGGAGCCACTGCAAGTAAATTAATTGTTACAAAGTTGTAGCAGAACACCACTAGGGTGCTTTGAGGTGGCTGTTACACTTGATTTCCAGATGGCTGAGTTTTTTTTTTTTTTTAATATACTCAACCTCACTCAGTAAATACATTTTCACAAAGGTACAATGAAGAAGAGCATCTTTCCAAATGCTCTCGTATGCACATAAACAGCTCCCATTTTGGAAGCCAGCAGGGGGGCACGTAAAACAAAATGAGAAAAAAAAATTGCACATATAGTAATTTTAATCCATTCCATTTTTAAATACCACAATAAATTTAATTTTCACAATAAATTAAATAGCCATATTCAGTTTACAAAATAGAATTACTTAGTGTGAAACCAGTATTTACAACAATATACACTATGTACATGACATTTCTCTCTGTTGACATACAACATGGAAGTAAAAGGACTTGACTTTCCAACGTGTGAGCGACATGCTACAAGTGACACCATGATTCATACAAGAAAACAATAGTGCAAAATCACCACAGGAACTTTGGGACAATGTCAGTTTTGTGAGATAAGACATTCTTTTAAATAATAAGAAAATAGCATTTTCTGTTGTCATGGCACCAATTCAACATCTGAATTAAAACGCCAGCTTTCCCTTAGAAAAAAAATGCATAACTGGATCCTCTACTTCCTGAAGCTTCACAGCCATTGGTACATTTTCACACATTTATCTTTTGGCTTAAATCTATGAAAATGGCGGGTGACAAATTCTGAATCAAAGGAAAACGAACTCTTTGAGAACAGCTGAAGTCACTTTTCCCCAATACCATCATCTCTTCCTTTTTGTAAATAGCTTAAAAGATGCAACTATGCAGACAGCAATTTTTTTTTGTAAGTTTTCAGTAGAAAAAGAACTGATCTTATATTTGGTCACACACTGCGTATGTACAAGTAAGTATACATGGAAAAATGACTTGGATAGCTATGTCTAAGAAAAGTGCATATTTTAATCTAGAGGAGACACTGTGTGTCTCCAGGCACAACACATAGTGTTGTACAACATATTATTTTAGGGCCAGTTCAATGTCCTTCCAGTGATCTGGTAAAATTTTTGATTAAAAGGGTGAAAGAATTTGCGCAATTTGGTAATGACAGAGGGGTCCACCTCTGGATGAATGCGCCCCTTGCTGCCTGCCAGGCACTTATTAAAGATAATGTTAAATCGCAAGCAGTAAAACCCTCTGGTAGCATTGAAATATAAATTGTACTGACTTATCCTTGGAGGGAGATTTAGGAACTTCTCCACGAGCTGAAGTTCTGGCAGAGGTTCTGTGATGAGGCGATCTCCATCGACGACATGAAATTGTTCAATCGGAAAGTATTTCAACCACCTTTCCAGATGTTTGGTGTAGATGCTCGTTCTTACTGCCTTGTATTTTGTGTTCACTTCGCAGGTATTAGGGTCTATGGCCAGCTTCTCAAACTTGTAATAAGTTTTGTTCTTCCTCTCCTTCCCCTCTAGCACCTGAGTGTAATCAGAAATAGCTCTTGTGGTTGGCTCCCTGACAATGATCAACAACTTGATGGATGAGTTCATTTTGTAAATCCTTTCCGGAACCTCCTCTGTGATGAAATATGCTGGGCTCTTTTCAATTGTGATTTGCTGAGGATAGGAAAAAGGCATCTTTTTCCTATACCACTCAATGCCCTTGGCATAATTCTCATCATTATCAAAAAAGTGGATTTCTTGAGAGGCTTTGACCACCGCCGGATGGAGGTTCAGCATTTCAAGCAGGGCTCTTGTGCCTCCTTTCCTCACCCCAATAATAATGGCCTTGGGGAGCTGCTGAACCAGGTCATGGAGGCGAACCTGCTCCTTGGACGCGTTGTTGCTCTTCCGGAACTCGTGCAGCAGGCCGCGCTTAAACTGCAGGGCACGGAGTGGGAATTCCGCCTGACTGCGGGCTCCACCGAATCGGCCTTCAATAGGGCAAATGGGCTGTAGCCTGCAAGTGACAGAGAGACACTTTAAGGAGCTTGTTGCAATGAAGTCTCATTTTTCTGGTTCCCCAGTCAGACTAAGACTTTAGATGCATAAATAAGATTGCTGGTTCCCAGCTTGCTGCAATCCATAATGAACATATGTTTGGGAAATTTTATTTTAAGCAACCCTGTATTAAATGGAGCACACATAATTGATGAGTTTTTTTTTTATTAGTGCTCCTTAAAATTTTTATTCACCAAGTACTTAATTGACTACAGCATGTACTTATGTTCACAGTGCAGGATAGACAAGTGACACCAGCCATACTAACAGCTTTTTAACAGCTCACCAGTTAAAATCATTTAGAAAACATGAAAAATGGAAGATTATAATTTTTAGCATGGAGGCTGAAGGGCAGCTAGGAGGCCATGTGTTTTAGGTTTCATGTGGTATTATTTTCTTGCAGCTCAGCAGCACTCATAGGGCTCTTAAAAATCTTTAGGACATAATTTGAAAAAAGGTCTCAATCTCTGCCCTTGGCTGATTGCATCATCAACCTGCAAAATTCCAATCTTGGCACTTGCTGAGCTTTTCCTTCTTTGAGAATCTCTGCCCTTGGCCTTGGGGATGGCCAGAAGAGTACTATATTTCTTCTGCCTTTCTTTTTCTTTCTACCTAAAGAGGCCAGGATTATGTTTTCACTTTGCTGAGTATAGGAACAAAAAGCCAATTGCTATCAGCTACTGTTATATATCACCTCCCACACCTTGGACCAGAAATCAACAAGACCTTGACAGGCCAGAAACCTCAGGTCTTCATTGCCAAGCCCATTTAAATCAGGGACTGAAGCTCATAAAGGAAGGAATGCAATGGGTACAGCCAGAAAGGAGGATTTCCACTTTAATATTATGCTGAATAATGAAAAATCACCTCTGCTTTGCTCAAGGAGAAAGATGTGGTCACAGTCACAATGATATTAGACGGGAGTAACTGTTTAATTTGGCATGGCAAATATATATGGTTGGCACATTGAGTTTCCTTTTAGGTATGATCTGAAACTGAACTGAAATTTATTATAATTACCCTAAGTTGATCAGAGGAGCCTTCTTGGTAAAAGGAGATAATATCAGTCAAAATGGCTGTGAAACCAATTCTTCCAATTGAAAGCTTCTAGTTATCCTAATAATTTGGAGTCTGTGTCTCCCTCTCTGTGGCAATGAGGCTGTTGCTTGCTTTTCCCAAGAGACCCCATTGCATCTTTCTTGTCTTTTGAGATGAGAAATAACCTCAATGTCATGTCGAACCTGTTCTGTAGAACTGAGGGAACGGTCTTAGTCTGTGCTGTGTTTAAGCAGCTATCTATCACAATGTTTAAGGAGAAATATAAAGATATATTACTTTTTTGTGGTGTTTGTACTTTTTGATTTTTTTTTTTGTGACAGCGTCTTGCTTTGCCACCCTGGGCTGGAGTACAGTGGTACCATCATAGCTCACTGCAAGCTCAAACTCCCGGCCTCAAGCAATCCTCCTGCCTCAGCTGCCAGAGTGGCTGGGACTACAGATGCATGCCACCATGACTGGTTAATTTGTTGTAAAGATGGGTTCTTGCTCTTACTCTAGCTGGTCTTGAACTGCTGACCTCAGCAAGCCCCTTGCCTTGGCCTCCCAGAGTGCTAGGATTACAGGTGTAAGCCACTGCCCCTGGCCTGTCTTTTATGATTTTTAAAACAATTCATGTTCATTGTGGAAAGTGTGAAAATATAGAAAATTATTTTTTTAATGGAGTTTACCACAGTTAATATTTTAGAGAAACATGGATTTTGTTTTTATACAGTTGTTAATGGGGATTAATAAACTAGGGCTCTAAATGCGAGTTATAAAATTATCAACAGTTACCTAGTCACAGATGTTTTTATGTGACATTGATTGGGACATCACAAATTTATCCTTCAGCTCTTCTTGGGCTCTGTTGAGAATTAAACCCTAATTCCCTAAGGAATCCATTGATGCAATTCTCTCCTATTTGTCTAGAACAATTCTAGAATTTCCTTGGGAGAATTGAGGAACCAGTCACTCATTCTGTAGGACTTAATTCTCTCATAGAACACTGGCTGAAAGAGAATAGCATAAATAGTCTCTGACCAATTTGGGCTGGAATGGAATTTCTCTCCCCGTATAAAGGGCCATTTTCCTTCTTCCTTCCTCTTTCTACCTTCTACCCTGAGAGTTCATATCCTGCAGAACAATCACCTTTTTAGACTCCCTCCCTCAAGATAGGACGTGAAGATGGAAGAAAATATCACACTTGTTCTCACTTCTCGAAGGGTAGATTCTAAGCATGGGTCTCAGATCAAAAAGCATACCATTTTAGGATTGGAAGGGACAGTAGAGTAACCTCTACCTCCCTCCCAGAGAACAGGGTGTTCAGTTACTGGAGAGTTGGCCTAAGTACCCATGTGTCAATTTCAGACATAATTTGCTCAAACTCACAAGTGAGAGGTTTTGAGAAAGATCACCAAGCAATTCAATTCCTCAACAAAGCTGTCTCCCTTAGAGACCAGAGCCTGGGTTAAAAATGAAAAGAATCATCAACTAAATAATGAATGTGTTAATGATCATTACAATGATTACTCAATAAAAAGTAAATTACTGGAAACTAATTAAAAGTGTTAGGAAGAGCTGGATATAAGTCTCATTATGGACATAGGACAATGGCATCATCTCAAGGCTTCTCACTAATAATCAAGTGCCACTTTGGGAAACTATTCGAAGTCAGTGATAAGCTCTGATTATAATTTTCCTATAGGTAACAACTAGTGGGTGGGACATTTACTCAGGAATTTTTAACCATCAAAGGAGTTACTTTACCAGCCAAAATTGAAACTGGATGAAGGAAAACAAAGATCACTGATATATTATTTCTAAATATCCAATGCTAAGGTCTACAGGCTTAAATTTTGGCAGGAAAAGGAAAACTGAAAGGAAGAATATTTTCATTTTAAAGTGTGACCACATTTCCACTTACAATGAGAGTTGAACTCATGGAGAACACACTTCAGTCTTTCCAATGCAAGAAATTAATTTGAAAGGGCAAAGAAGAAAGCTTCACATTTCAGATATTAACTTCTCTGTCCTTGCCAATCATACTAGGCATAGAACAGTCCAGAAACATTTAACATGAAGCCAGCTGATGTTGCTGGGACTTCTGCAGGTCCAGTACCTCTCAATTGTTTGCCTTTTCAGAGCTGAACTCTAGCTCTTTAATTTTCCCTCTGCAGATTTCCCATTGCTTTCTGGGCAATCATTCTGAATGACAGCCTCTTTGTCTGATATGTTCAGCTCCTGAAAACCAGAGCTAATTAACACAGTTAAAACTCCCCACGCCTGCAACCATCTTTCTGGGGCAATGGATTGCAAACTTGATGAGCTGCTTTCCAGGCTTATACATAATTTTAACGCTCCCGATAGCACATTAATTGTCCACTCATAAATTTCAAAATGAAGATACATAGATACATCATCACTGTTTTGCTACAGCTGGAGGTCAACACCAGATGCACACAGACCACACTGAGCTCTAGTAAATGATATTTTTACTGAACACAGCTTTATCCCTTCTCTGCCAACAAGTGTCAACGCACGCAGAATATAAATGGATCTTGACGGAACACCTTGGTTTGAGTAACTTGGATCTCTTTCTTTTAAAGTCTCAATAAATCAAAATCAATACTGCAGAAAAGCATGTTTCTTGGGAATTTTCAGGGAGAAAAACAGATGGACAGACTTAAGATTATTAAGTCTAATATTAACATATCCTAAGGAAGTTAATATCAAGATTTACTTAAAGTCACATGGGCATAGCATGTTCAATCACCTACCTATCCAAGCTCCCAACTCTGGCAACTAGATACAGGAGACTCCCCACGGCAAGGCTTCCCAGCACCAGGAGCTTCTGTCTCAGCCACGCCTGCTGTTTGAATAGCATGGCCCTCCATCAACCTTCAGGACGGCTGCAGCCTGAGGGATGGGACAGAAGGACTCATTAGCAGTCATCTCTTACAGGCTCTGTGGATCATCACAAAGCCACCCAGAGGCAGGACAACAGGTGATGGAGTGGCATCGCCCAACGAACAGATCCCACGCCAACTTTGATGATTTTTTTGTTGTTATTGGTATTTAGCAAAACTTACCTTTCTTTCCTTGGACCATATTATAAGATCAAATAATCTAAGGGGGAGATACAAACAAGACAGAACCTGCTAGACAATGTCAAAGTAAACAAAAATGCATATATTACAACATATATAATATATTCTATAGAAAACATATAAATATTGTTGGTAAATTATTCAAAGAATACTGATAAAATGAGCAACTTGAGGTTTACCGGCAGGGCAGCCATAAACTGAAGGCCCTGTTTCAGAATAACAGGGCAAAAGTTGCAATCCTAGTTCCCTAAATTATCATTTTTGGCATTACAATGACATATTTTACTTAGATATTTTTGTTTGGGTTGTGAATGGAGGATGGGATGAGATCAAAGTGATTTCTTTACTTACTGAAGTTATCAGTAGTAACTAGCAGGCCCTCACGTGTCTGAGGGCATAGCTCTGGGGAACCTGGAGTTTCCCTTCACGTGCTCTGCCCAGTCCTGGATTCTGAAAACATGTTCAGACAGATGCTCCTGCTATGTGACCTCTCCTGGGCTTTCAACGAGTTTAAACAGGTTTGGTGGTATCAGTCTCACTGTTACATCATGAAAGCAGCTTACCTGGAAGCTTTGTTCTCGTATACCTGAAATAAGGCCAGCTGAGGAGTGTAGGGCTTTACTGGTGCTGTTATTAAATTCTGGAGAAAAAAATGCAAGCTTCCAATTCAGCCTTTCTTATTAAAAATAAATCCAATCTTCCTTTCAAGGTAAGATTGTTTGCTTCTTATTGAAACTCAAAATAGCAACCCGAGAAAAGGGAAGCTATAGCGAAGAGTTGTGGTTAGAAATTGTTTTGCTGCAATGGTATCTCCATATTTGCTGTTTGAAAAAGGGATATGCTAGGATGGATGGATTGGTCTAGTCACTCATTTATGAAGAAATAACTGAGCACCAATAGTATTTTCCTCTATTATACTAGGTTTATAGGAGATTCCCAAAAAGATGCTGTAAGAATATTAGTCATTAGAAAACTGGTAATGTGATTAGGGAATCATGGAGCAACCAGAGAACACAACCCAATTTCTGATAATGTATGAATAAATGTTGGAGAGAGAAAATTAAGGAAAAGGTGAGAGAATGTGGGCACAAGAATGCTTTTTTTGTGGAATGTACTGCACGGATTGGTGAGGAGGCTACGAGAGGGCATCCCAAGAGGAGATAAGGGCAGCATTCATCCAACACACAGTCCACAAATATTTATGGAACACGCCTCATGTGCTAGACCATGTCATGTCGTGGGTACTATGGAGAATAGTGGTCAACTAAAAAGACATGGCTCCTGCCCCGTGGAAGTCCATAATGTAGTGGGGAAGACAGACAGTAAGCCAGGAAATCTATGAATATATATATATATGTATATATATATATGATTAATATGTACTTACAAATTGTAATGCATGTGAGCCAGTAAATCCTATATATAGGATTTATGTATACTTTCAAGTTGCAGGAAATGTGACAAAGGAAAATTATGGGACCCAGTGAGAAAGGGTAATGGGAAGAACCTCCTTCAGTTCTTCCTGAGGAAGTGACACTTGGGCTGACATGGGGGGGGCGCGGGGAGCAGGAGCAAGGAGGCAGGAGTAGGACGAAGCAGATTTCGGACAGAGGAACCAGCACGCACAAAGGGGCTGCGAAGGGAAAATGCTTGGCTGGTTTGCAAAGTGAAGGAAGGCAGGTGTGGGGACACAGGGACTGAGGGACAGAGAGGAACGACCAGGAGCGAAGAGCCGGCAATGCGAAGGCGTTCGCAGGGGGCTGGATGAACGTGCAGTTTTGACTGAGCAGGGCTGCCTTATGTTTAGGTAAAATGGAGAAGAGAAAGGGGAAAGAAAGTGTGGTTTATTGAGGCCTCCCATGTGGCAAGGACATTGTACAGTGGTAGTGCAGGAAATTATCAGAGAAGCCCTGTGAGGTAGATAGATGGAGTTATATTCATTTCACAGACAGGCAAAGTGAAGCTCACGGTTTTCTCTAGCTTGCCTGAGGCCACGCAACTGCCAGGTACTGTGAAGGCAAAGGCAGTAACCTACATAACGTCACTGAAGGACCAATCTCCTATCTCCAGGTTGATGTCTGAAGTCCTCGGTTAGACCCACATGCCTTTAGCATAGGGCTGTGACCCCCGTTGAAATACAAATACAGCAACAGGGTGGCAGAGAGAAAACTGTGTTCAAGTCTGCCAATTAAGTTCTCCCCTTGGTAGCTCTGTGGTCTTGAGGTTAGATTCTCTGGGCCTTTCTTTCTATATCCATAAGATGGGGACCATCTCTGGCCTCCCTACTCCACAGAGCTGTAGAAAGAATAAAAGTAGGCTTCTATAAGTGATATCACTATACAAAGGCTTGCGTGTCATTTCTATCTTAGCGTGAATGAATTTAATGTGCATTCATGGATGAGCAGTGTGAGAGAATAAAGCTATTCTGTGGCTGAGCAGCAAATAGGAGAGACAGGAAAAGCAAAAGTAAAATGTGCTTGCCCCATGGTCTTAATGAGGGTCACCAGCCTCATCTAGAGGACCGATTCAAAGGAAATTATCTGGCTTCCTCTGCAATTTAAACGTACTGCCCACACTCTCCTGCTCAAAACTGCTTTGCACAATGCATCATCTGCTTTCACCAGCTCCTTGGCCTGCCTGTCTGTCATTAGTTCCATTTACCCATTCTCCCATTCTTTAAGATCTGGACTACGTCGCAGTTCTTTTGAGAAATCTTCTCCTGCTGACACTCCGGTCCATGATCATCCCCCACCTCCACTGAACTCTCGTTGTTCTTGCATCCAAAACCACCGTTAGGTATTTCATTGTTCATAAATGTTTGATTAGTGTTAGCTGCTGCCTTCTTCTGTGTGTATTATCATCTCTGAGCAATGGGCTAACGCTGCTGACTGACTCAGTATATACTAGAAAGCTTGCTGAAAGGTAGTGATTCCAGAATCTGTCTGTTTTGTCACATAAGCCCATGGTTCTCTACGGCAAGCTGGAAAACAAGCCTGTTACCACCCTCAGATATTCCAATTCAATGGGTATGCATTAATCTTGTATTTATAATACCAGAACAAAAATCACAAAACTTAATTATCATTTTCTATCAACTTTTTTCTCTTTGGTCACCATCATTAGTGAAAACTATTTCTCCTTAATTTTTTCTTGCCTTGTCCTGTCCAGGCACTTAGTGTCTCCCTTATTTCTTAACATTTGAGTATGTGCCCCTAGTTCATTTCCTATGGCCTGGTACGGTATGAGTAATCTTCCTAACATAAGTTATTTTGTCCCTCATTTATTTTTGGTTGTTCACTGGATCAAATCCAATCTCTTCCTCTTGAAAGGCCAGGCCCTTCCTTCTGATGGACCAGCCTGGGTAGTCAGCTTCTCTCCCTGTCGCGTTGCTCCAGTGCTTGCTGGGCCAGCCTCTTCGCTGCCCTCCACATGCCTCCCCTCTCATCTCTGCGCCTTTCTCAGCTTCCTCTGTCTCCTCCTTCAAGACTCCCAGCCTATGGATATCTGCTTAGGGAGGGTGGACCTGGTGGATGTGGAACTTAGGAGCAACAATCCGAATACACTTTCCACTGGTGAGTGGGACCGGGTCATGTCCATTGTGTTAGATAAATTACAGGACCTAAAGGTAACAAAGCTGGGCTTGGTAATAAACATGAGAAGACATTTGTTTGTAAGGGGTGAGTGAGGTTGTGAAGTGACCTCATGGTTAAATTCTGTTCAAGGTGAGCAGGCAGGATAAAGAAGAAAAAGTGGGCCGGGCGCGGTGGCTCACGCCTGTAATCCTAGCACTTTGGGAGGCCGAGGCGGGTAGATTGCTCGAGGTCAAGAGTTCGAAACCAGCCTGAGTGAGACCCCATCTCTACTAAAAATAGAAATAAATTAATTGACCAACTAAAAATATATATACAAAAAATTAGCCGGGCATGGTGGCACATGCCTGTAGTCCCAGCTACTCGGGAGGCTGAGGCAGTAGGATTGCTTGAGACCAGGAGATTGAGGTTGCTGTGAGCTAGGCTGATGCCACGGCACTCACTCTAGCCTGGGAAACAAAGTGAGACTCTGTCTCAAAAAAAAAAAAAAAAGAATAAGAAGAAGAAAAAGTGATAGAGCACGTGAAGGCTGCAGAGGAAGTCGTCCCCAATTTAGGGACTACCACGACAAGACTATTAGCTGCCTACTGCAATGCACATGTCATCTGGCATACACTGACCTGTTAAACCTGATTCAATATGACATCACTACTTTTTCTACTGCCATTGAGGCTCTTTCAGTCTCAAAGGCTTCCCCTAGAGATTCTCCTTTTGTGGTAAGTCCAGTTATTACCATGGAGGTTTGGTTCTGTGGGATGAGCTACTACTGCTAGCCCAACTTTTCCATACCTGAGATGCCTTCAGTACGCCCCCTGGGGCCTTCTCTCTTTCTCTCTTTTTTCTGGAGGCCTAATTTCATCTCCTCTAGTTGTGGCAGGCCCATCACGCCCTCCAAAGTCCCTTCATATCTGCTGTGATGCTGAGGAGAACTGAAATTTTTATCTGATATCTCAACTAATACGAGTCAGTCGTCCATGAAGAAGTGCAAAGACCACTGGATTGGGACTCGAAAGACCCTGAGCCACACTTTGGTTCCATTTTATAGCGGAAACTTTCTGTTTTTGTTTTCCTCATCTGTAAAATTATGGTAATAACGTCTACCTCGAAGGGTTGTTATGACATAAACATTGAGTAAGACACTGTAGGATAGAACTTTGTGAACATTTGGGCATTTTATAAAAATGAAGCATGATTTATAACTTCAGGAGGCAGACACATT